GCTTCCGGGGGCGGAGTTGTCGCTTCCGGGGGCGGAGTTGTGGCTCCCGGGGGCGGGGCGTCGCCGCGCCGGCCCCCCCGGAAGAGCCACGCCTGCGACACGTGCGGGAAGGCCTTCCGGGACGTCTACCACCTGAAGCGGCACCGGCTGTCGCACACGGACGAGCGGCCCTTCCAGTGCCCCGTGTGCCAGCAGCGCTTCAAGCGCAAGGACCGCATGGCCTCGCACGTCCGCTCCCACCAGGGCCACGTCCACAAGCCCTACGCCTGCGGCCACTGCGGGAAGAGCTTCTCCAGGTGAGGGGGGGGGGCAGGGGGCGAGGGGGACGGGGGGTTGGCGGGTTGTGGTTGGGTTGGTGGGTCATGGTTGGGTTGGTGGGTCTTGGTGGGTCTTGGTGGGGCTGGAGGTCATGGTTGGGTTGGTGGGTCAAGGTCATGGTGGGTCATGGTCATCGTTGGGTCGCGGTGGGGCTGGAGGTCATTGTTGGGTTGGTTGGTCACGGTGGGTCTTGGCGTGGTTGGGTTGGTGGGTCAAGGTGGGTCATGGTGGGTCAAGGTCATGGTGGGACTGGAGGTCGTTGTTGGGTTGGGTCATGGTGGGTCTCGGCGTGGTTGGGTTGGTGGGGCTTGGTGGGGCTGGAGGTCATCGTTGGGTTGGGTCTTGGTGGGTGTTGACGTGGTTGGGTCAGTGGGTCATGGTGGGTCATGGTGGGTCAAGGTCATGGTGGGGCTGGAGGTCATCGTTGGGTTGGGTCTTGGTGGGTCTTGACATGGTTGGGTTGGTGGGTCAAGGTGGGTCTTGGTGGGACTGGAGGTCATTGTTGGGTTGGTTGGTCATGGTGGGTCAAGGTCATAGGGGGTCTTAGTGGGTCTTGGTGGGACTGAAGGTCATCGTTGGGTTGGGTCATGGTGGGTCTTGGTGGGGCTGGAGGTCATCGTTGGGTCGGTGGGTCTTGGTGGGTCATGGTGGGGCTGGAGGTGGTCGTTGGGCTGGGTCATGGTGGGTGTTGGCGTGGTTTGGGTTGGTGGGTCCTGGTGGGTCATGGTCATGGTGGGACTGGAGGTCATGGTTGGGTTGGTGGGGCTTGGTGGGGCTGGAGGTCATCGTTGGGTCGGTGGGTCTTGGTGGGTGTTGGTGGGGCTGGAGGTCGTCGTTGGGTTGGGTCATGGAGGGTCTTGACATGGTTGGGTTGGTGGGTCGTGGTGGGTCACGGAGGGTCTTGGCCATCGTTGGGTTGGTGGGTCACGGAGGGTGTTGGCGTGGTTGGGTTGGTGCGTCTTGGAGGGTCAAGGCCATAGGGGTCATGGTGGGTCATGGTGGGGCTGGAGGTCATCGTTGGGTTGGTGGGTCATGGAGGGTCAAGGTCATGGTGGGTCATGGTGGGGCTGGAGGTCATCGTTGGGTTGGTGGGTCATGGAGGGTCAAGGTCATGGTGGGTCATGGTGGGGCTGGAGGTCATCGTTGGGTTGGTGGGTCATGGAGGGTCAAGGTCATGGTGGGTCATGGTCATGGTGGGACTGGAGGTCATCGTTGGGTCAGTGGGTCATGGAGGGTCTTGGCGTGGTTGGGTTGGTGGGTCATGGTGGGTCATGGTGGGGCTGGAGGTCATCGTTGGGTTGGGGGGTCAAGGTGGGTCATGGTGGGTCAAGGTCATGGTGGGACTGGAGGTCATCGTTGGGTTGGGTCATGGTGGGTCTTGGCGTGGTTGGGTTGGTGGGTCACGGAGGGTCTTGGCGTGGTTTGGGTTGGTGGGTCATGGTGGGTCTTGGTGGGTCTTGGTGGGACTGGAGGTCATTGTTGGGTTGGGTCATGGTGGGTCCTGGCGTGGTTGGGTTGGTGGGTCTTGGTGGGTCATGGTGGGTCAAGGTCTTGGTGGGTCTTGGTCATCGTTGGGTCGGTGGGTCTTGGTGGGTCTTGGTGGGGCTGGAGGTCGTTGTTGGGTTGGGTCACGGTGGGTCTTGGCGTGGTTGGGTCATGGTGGGGCTTGGTGGGACTGGAGGTTATCGTTGGGTTGGGTCATGGTGGGGCTGGAGGTCATTGTTGGGTTGGTGGGTCTTGGTGGGACTGGAGATCATCGTTGGGTTGGTTGGTCATGGAGGGTCAAGGTCATGGTGGGACTGGAGGTCATTGTTGGGTTTGTGGGTCAAGGTGGGCCATGGTGGGACTGGAGGTCATCGTTGGGTTGGGTCATGGTGGGTCATGGTCATCATTGGGTTGGTGGGTCACGGTGGGTCTTGGCGTGGTTGGGTCGGTGGGTCTTGGTGGGGCTTGGTGGGACTGGAGGTCGTTGTTGGGTTGGGTCATGGAGGGTCTTGGCGTGGTTGGGTCATGGTGGGGCTTGGTGGGACTGGAGGTCATCGTTGGGTCAGTGGGTCATGGTGGGTCTTGGCGTGGTTGGGTTGGTGGGTCTTGGTGGGTCTTGGTGGGGCTGGAGGTCATCGTTGGGTTGGGTCATGGTGGGTCTTGGTCTGGTTGGGTTGGT